GGGGGCGGATTCCCAGGAGGCGCACCAAGGTCGGTTCCGCCGTGACTCCAGTACTAGAGAGTCGCTTCCACGCTCCCCCTCTCCCCATACCGCGAAGTCGCCTCAGGACCCCGGTTCTACAAAGCTCTCACGAGCGCGTTCGGCTGAATGACCGCAATCCCCCCCTCTCCACGGCGAGCACTCACCATGTTTGCAGAGTCACCAACAGCGCTTCCTTCCGCCTGCACGGAACGTCGGGAGAGGGAGCTCGGTGACGTCGCGTGCGTCTTAACGTCACGCAGGAAATCTCGCGCTAAAGGAATGGCGCAAGGACGAGCCAAGAACGTTAACGAACTTGTTGAGGCGGGAGTAGTGGGCGTGAGGGGAGGTTCTTCTTCTTCGCGCCTTATTACCAATTCCCCTCGGGGGTAGACAAGCATAGCTTGTTATCTCAGAGAAAATTTGCCTCATTTAGTGGAGTCTACGTTTCAGCTTTCCTCTTTTAGCAGGGGCGATGGCGGTCTTCTGGTCGTTTTTCGTTCGTTAATCGTGGCCCCACTGTTGCGTTTTGAGGGACTTTTGGAAGGATTGTTTGCAAACAAAATTATGGTAAAAATTGCCTATCTGGGAATGTTTTGTGGAGTGTGTTTGAATGGCAGGAATTTTGTGGATACTGTCAGCGACATAGGTCGCCTCTTCCATTTGCAGAGTAAACATTCTTGTCAGCCTTTTACATTTTTAACTGAGGGTGCAGTTGTGCTGTCGTTACTTATAGCCACACACTGCATATTATACTGTGTCAACGCAGTTTTGTTTCGTAAAACGCATAAGGAAGAAGCAAACTAAAGCGAAAAGAGTTTGTCTTTTTCCTCATGTTTTTCTAGTATAAATTGCATTTCGTAGCTGCTTTTTATCTTGCCGGGCAAAAAATATGGGCATCTGTTATCTTTTTTCTTGATAGGCAAAAAGTAGCTGAATGTTACTGGCTTTCCCACACAACGCTTGTGTGGATCAGGTTATTTCACAGTAAATGAATACAGCGGACAGCAGATAGAGAACAGATGAGATCAATATTTCCACAGGATCAATATTTCCAAACTGCTATAGAAGATACAGATAGAGCTGCAAAATGGAACGATGGAAATTCTGGGGACAGGAGGGATTTTTCTACAAACCTGAAAAAAAGCCCCAGGGTTGCTGAAAGATCTGAAATGTAGATTTTAAAAAATGGAATAAAAGCTCCTCAGAGCAATAGAATCAACACTTGTAGCTTAGCTTTTAACAAAAGAATGCCTGTTGTTTTTTACTGTATTGGGAGTTGCTAGGAAACCAGAATAAATTTTGTTTTATGTTTTTGATTTTATGTATTTTATCTATGTCCTAACCTTCCTTGAGCTCCATAAGGAAGAAAGGTGGCTAATAAGTGTTTAAAATAAATAAATACAATAATATTGCCAAGCCTTCCAGGCCTTGGTTTCAGTAAAGTAAAGCCATGGGGGGCGGGGATGAACTGGGCGGCTGGAATTGCCCTGGAAAAGTTCCTCTCCCCCCTGCCCTGATGAAGAATCATCAGGGACAGGCCCAATGATGACAGCTGAAGACTCACTACCCATAATTTGGACTTTGACAGGAGGAGAGGAAAAAGCAAAATAGCTTAATTTCGATAACCTGATGTTTATTCTTAACACGTAACTCCAAAATAATATTTACACTACAGCGTTTATTGTCAACTAAGATATACAATTATAGCCAAATAAGTTTGTGATTGTTTGCTTTTTAATTTGATATTTTTACAGTATTATCTCTCACACTTTATTATTCTGACAAAGAGATGTATCAGCAACTTCAAACTTTTGTAACAATGCTCCTTGGTACTCTAGTTTTAGGCTGTTCCCATCCCCCAACCCTGTAGTATTGTAGTTTTAGAAAAGCAGTAAAAAATGTTTAAAAACAAAACAAAACATGTCATCTGAAAGCATTTCAGTGTTCAAGCAGCAAATGGCTAGCTCAAGAATTTTAGAAACTTAAGCTTCAAAATGCATGTTCCTACCCTTCATCTTGAAAATGGGAAACAAGCCAACCTTAGGAGATGAGGGCAGCTGCTGTGTGCTTTCTACATCTTGTCAGCCAAAATCAACTGTCAGTGAAAGTGGTTTCAGAAATCACAGAATCAAGGCCATTTGAGTTAGGGCCAACCAAAAATTTTGGTGCCTGAAGCAGGAAATCCAAACAGCATCCCAAACTCACCCACCCGCACATCCCATGTTGAGGTAATAAACACCATGTATCTGACAATTTCATGTCCTTTAATATTTCACACACACTGCTCTCTGAAATGTCTCTCACTTCCTAAATTGCATCTTAGGGTTTACACAGTAACCCATGGAAGCTGTGGGTTGGGTTTTCCCCCCAATCTTTGCTGATTTTCAGTCAAGTTGCTCTGTTTAAAGTCAGGCTTTTGTGATAACATTTTTTAAAAGTCCATACTGACTTCTTAAAAATTGTTTAACCTGCTGTAATGGTGCAGGTTGACAGCCAGGCTGATAAAAATACTGGATTGCAAAGTTCTTGAAAGACATGCAGGGGCTTTTACTGTTCAGGAATATATGCATATATAATCTTACAGCCTAAAAACCACTGACATCAGCTCTGGGCTGGGGATATTATGCTAAGGAATTCTCCTAAAACGACCCATCTACTTTCATGGTTGAATACTAACTTGGATTTACCACCTTTTTAAAAAAAGATAATTGGCATTCCAATAAAGCATTCCTTGAAGGGAAGGCAGTTTAAACTGCCTTCTCTTGGCTTGCCCGGGCGCCCCGCGGCTGCAGGGAGCCCGGGCAAGCTGGCCCTTGGAGGGGAGGGGAGGCAGTTTAAACTGCCTTCCCTTGGCTTGCCCAGGCACCCCGCAGCCGTGGGGAGACTAGGCAAGCTGGCCCTTGGACAGGCCG